TTAACATCATGACTGCAACAATGGGCTCAAATGTGTCAACAATTGTGATGATAGGGCAGGATCAGGCAATGTTTTGTTCTGTTATACACAGGGTCACTGTGAGTCAGAAATGATAGCACTTAAAAACCACAATACAGACTAATATCAGTTAAAAAAAGTCAGTGCATAAATACTAAACAAAATATTAGCAAACAAGTCTAGAAAGCACTGTGACCTTGCAGCCATTGTCCACAGTGTCCACTTTTCAGAGCATAGTCAGTCACCTGTCAAAGGCTCTCAGTGAATACACATACAACATGCAGTGCCTGGCCTGAAGGTCACATACTGAGCAACAATTTTTTTAGTAAGCCCCACACATTATGAAGACATTCTGCCCCTACTGGGACCCATTTTCGAACTACATTTCTACACCATTAGCTGCTGAATGCCTGGTCTTTTGCCTACACTCTGGAGGTTACCTGTTGTTGACCTAGTAGCTCCAGACACCTCTGGTCTGGCTAAACCAACAAACTCATCTGTGCTATCTAGTGCCTGAGCCACAATCTCTCCAAAGAGATTTTCTTTTCAAGTTTGTCCTTCCTTGGACATTCTCCATTAGCCCTTGGTTACCATATGATGTTTCCTTATATTTATAGTTGCTCTTTTAATACTGTTTTATTCATTTTTCAAATTAAACTTCCTCCGCTTAACCTATTGGTTTGTTTCTATCTTCTGATTGAACACAGACAATTATGGTCTCTCTAACCTTTGAAAGTAGACTGTGGGTTTGAGAGACCACATGATAATCTCCATTTTACTTAAGAGAAAAAAAAAACAAAACTTAGAAAACTAATATTTAGAGTGGTTAGGGGACATATCCAAGGTCTCATAGCTAGTCAATAAAAAAGATGAGATTTCAACCATGTTCTGTCTCTTCCATTTCTAGCACCATCATTCAGAAGTTCCACCCTGGACCTCCATCCTCGTTTTTCTCCCCCATACTGTTTGTTCTGAACTTTGGCTCCTCCTTTTGTACATTTTCTCTGAAACCATGTTCTTAAAATTATGGCCTATAAAATGTTTCCTTAACCTGGTTTCCAAAATCTGAGTTTTCCCTGGAGGCACATGCTTGGATAGAGTTTTGCATAATCATTTAGAATTTTTCCCACTTTGGAATTGAAATATCCTGTATCCTTTTCTATTCCAACAATTCCTCCAGTTTAACTTATCTTTACTCCAATCGTTGTTGTTGTTAAGTGCCATCAAGTTGGCTCCAACTCATAACGACACTGTGTAGGGTTCCAAGGAGCAACTGGTGAGTTTGAACTGCTGATACTGTGTTTCAAACCAACCTTGTGGTCAAGTGCTTTATCCCACAATATCACACCAGGACTCCATAGTCCAACCATACATGTTCTTGAATCTAATAAAATCCCTTTGTCCTTCAAACTTTTCCCAATGTATCGCTATTATCTCAATGAAGGTTGACTAGCATGATCAACTCTCTAGCATCTCAACTATACCTCTTTTTGTCTTTGTGCTTTGGAGGTTTGCAACTTCTTGCCAGTTTTTTGGTATGGCTCCTGCCAACTGTCTGTCCTATTGCCCCCAGCATCTCTAATCCAAGCCCTCTTCTTTACCATTTTCCAAAACATGTTCATCAAACATCTGTACAAACCGAATACACTTTCTTATTGCAATTGTAGGAGCTTTTTTACTTCGGTGATTAAGTGTTCAGCTGTTAACTGAAAGGTTATTTCTCAGGAGATGTGGCAATTTGCTTCCATAGAGATTATAGGCTTGGAAACCCTATGGGACAATTTGACTCTGTCCTAAAGGGTTGCTGTGAGTCAGAATAGACTCCAGGCAGTGGTTTAGGTTTTGTTTGCTTTTATACCAGTTACAGTAATTGCAATTGTCATCAATCCCATGATCATTTTCCTATTGAGCTAAAGTACTGTTGATGATGTCTGGTTGGATTGAATCTGTATTACCTTGATTGAAATCATTACTATTTTATTGAGGACTCTTCATTTATAAGTTTCAATAATTCTGTTACAAAGGTCTACTATTAATCAGAAGAAACCTTCATCATTTTTAGATTTGCTTTGTGCCCAAGCAATAACTGATAGTATTTCATCAAGACATTTCTTTGAAAACATGTTATTTGTGTTCACTGAATGATTTTAACTCTTAAAGTCAACGACAAATTTGGAGCAGGAAAGTCTAGCATGGTTCTATGCACTGTTGCATGTTAGAATGCTGACTAGGAGGATAAAACAATGCCAGGACCTTCCCCTCTTCTGGATTTTCCTCTGGTGGTGGAAAGGAGAGGGCAAACCTTGGAGATGAGGGAGATTTAACAAAGTTGAGCAGAAGTTGTTTCTGGAAACTTTTCCAAGTTGGGCTTCACTGGAGTGTTGGCTACCTTTCAACAGAGGCTAGATACTGTGTGGTCAGTACAATTTTCTAATATTCTATGAAGCAACTTGCCTGTGCATCCACCAAGGCGCCAGTTGTTGTTGTTGTTGTTAAGTGCCATCGAGTCGGGTCCGACCCATAGCGACCCTGTACAGGGTTTCCGAGGGTGTAAATCTTTACGGGAGTAGAAAGCCTCATCTTTCTCCCGCGGAGCGGCTGGTAGTTTCGAACCGCTGACCCTAAGGTTCGCAGCCCGATTCGTAACCACTATGCTACCAGAGAAACTAAAAATAAAGACTTCTTTCCCTGATAAGAGATGCCAGCAATATGATGATCTTAATATCCTCCCATTCCCTACAACATCTTCTTGAATCAAGTTCCCTATCAACATTATTATTACTCAGATCATATTTGAACAAAGGGTTATTAAAGCTCTCCATGCAGAAATGTTAAGATATCTTTAGGAATGCTGGCTGGTTATGAGCATGGTCTCTTCATGTATCTCAAAATTTTGGTAAATTCCAAGTTCATGAGTTTCTTCAAAATCATTTAAACACACACACACACACACAATAACAACAACAAAAAAAAAACAAAAACAAAAAAAACCCACAGGCTTACTGGTCAGATAAGGACTGTTGGAACCCCTGAGATTGGGTCTAAGTCATCCTGCAAGTTTGGAAATGAACTCACTCTCAAGGCTCAATTTTCAGTCAAATAATAGATGTATAATGCAAACAATAACACTAGGAAAGTATGCATGCCTTAGAATAATCACCCATTTGAGATCAAAAGGGCAGTATTTACCCAAGGACAGAGGTAGGAAAGAAGTTAGGAATGGAAACAGGAAACACAGGGAAAAAGTGAGATACATTGTGGGTTTGCAATTAATGAGATGAAACAAAATATGACTTGTTGAATGGACAACTGATTTGCTTTGTAAACCTTCACTCAATTCACAATAAAAAGTTAAAAAACAAAACAAAAATGTTCATGGGCTTCTTGACTTCTTGGTGATAGATGCAGGCTAATTAACTTTATACCAAACTGAAGTATGGAATCCTATTGTGGTTGTTGTTAAGTACCATGGAATTGGTTCCAACTTATAGTGACCCTGTACAGGGGTTTCTGAGCTGTAAATCTTTACGGGAGCAGAAAAGCCTCATCTTTCTCCAGTGGAATGACTGGTAGTTTCCAAATGCCGACCTTAAAGTTAGCAGCCTGATTCGTAACCACTACACTACCAGAGCTCGTACTGCAGGTTAATGTGTTAGACTGTGAGGTATATTTGAACCACAAGGTCAGCAGTTCAAAGTCACCAGCCTATCCTTGGAAACCCTACAACAACAATAACACACTAAAGTATAAACAAATACTAATCATGTGTTAATGCTATCGATCCCTTTCTAGTGAGCAGAATGTCCCCTTTCTCTAACTTGAAATGGTCTCAGATGCCTGCTTGGTACTGTGGCATTAGGACAAATAAGTAGAATATAATAAGAATTGTTGCTGATGTTGTTGTTAAGTGCCGTCAAGTTGGTTCCAACCCATAACAACCCTGTATAGGGTTTCTAAGGAGCAGCTGGTGGGTTTGAACCGTACACCTTGCAGTTCAAACTGACCATATAGCCCAGCACAGTATCCTGCACTGCCAAACCAGAACTCCGATAAGAAGAATAGCAAATGAAAAGTGTAAAACATTGTTTTAAGAGCTTTACCCACATTTACTTCTCACAATTCTACAAGGTGGTGACTGGCTGTTATTATCATTAGCTCCACTTTACACATGAGGAAATAATATGGCTCCAAACATGAGTCCTTAAACCACAATGACATGGTTTGGAGGATATTTCATCTGTGTACTAAGAAACCTCTCTGATTATCTCTTCCCTATGCCTCTCCAAGGATCAGATGGTTCACACACACTGGGACCCATGCTCCCCTGGAAAATGCTGGATGACCACTAACCAATGTCTATTCCTAAAGTCACCTTTCCTTTCTCCTGAGACCATGTTTCTTTAGGCTTGTTTCTGGTTCTCATTGAAATAATCTAAGATCTGGGAACTTGGGATTCATCTTGTCCTATCTGTCCTAAGTTGATTTCACAGGTTTAATATTCATGTACTCAGTCACTCAATCTGTATTCTACTCACTCACTTATTGTCAAATCTGTGTTGGGTCCTTTGGCGGGTCCTGAGGAAGCAGATGAATTAGACACAAAAATTAGGTGTCCTGTTTTATGAGGACTGCCTAGCTGCTGAAGCCATCATCAGGTCCCATATCAGTTATATTCACACATGTTGTTGTTGTGTGCTGTGGAGTCGGTTCCAACTCATAGCAACCCTGTACAGGGTTTCCGAGGCTTTAAATCTTTACGGGAGCAGAATGCCTCATCTTTCTCCTGCGGAACAGCTGGTAGGTTCTAACTGCTGACCTTGCGGTTTGCAGCCCAATTCGTAACCACTACGCTACCAGAGCTCCATCATTCCATCTAAACCATCAAGTTGATGATTGTTACCTGGGATGAGAGGGAAGAGAATTGAAGGACTATAGAGCCTGTAATTTCATGGTTAGTGGTATCCTTCAATGCCCCCAATGGCTCACTCAGTGGTCCTGCCCAAGCCTATTAACTTGAGGAAAGCCCTCTTCACATCTTTGTTTCTGAGGCTGTAGATGATGGGGTTAAGAAAGGCAGAGATGACATTGTAGAACAGGGCTAGTTTCTTGTCCCTCTCTGGGGAGGCATTGGCCCCAGGGTTCATGTACATAAACATAGCAGGTCCACAGAACATTGTGACCACAGTGATATGGGATGCACAGGTAGAAAAAGCTTTAAGTCGACCCTGAGTTGAGCGTATTTTCAAAATGGTGACAAAGATACGGACATAAGAGGCCAGAATGAAGGAAAGAGGTACCAGAAGAAGGATGAAGCCCAGGATGAAATCTACCCGGTCATTTAGGGATGTGTCTGCACAAGCCAGCTTCAGGACAGCAGGGACCTCACAGAAGAAGTGGTTAATTTCATTTGGGCCACAGTAAGGTAGACGCATGGTAAAGACAGTGTAGACTAGGGAGCAGCTGATACCCCATAACCCACAGAAGACCACCATTGCCCAACATAACCATGGGCTCATTATGACCTTGTACCTGAGTGGATAGCAGATGGCTACATACCTATCGTAGGACATGACAGAGAAAAGCCAGCCCTCAGTAATGCCCAATACCAGGAAGATGTACATTTGGGCCACACATCCAACGTAGGAGATAGTTTTCTTCTGGCGGACCAGATGTATCAACATCTGGGGCACGGTGGTGGTGACATAGCTCATGTCCAGCATGGAGAGGACACTGAGGAAGAAGTACATGGGTGTGTGGAGGCGAGAGTCCCGGTGAATCAATGTTACAATAAGCCCATTACCCAGAAGTGTACAGAGGTAGAGAAAGAGAAATATGTTAAAGAGAATCACATTAATTTGGGAGTCTCTGGAAAAACCCAGAAGAATAAACTCAGACACAGAGCTGTAGTTGTCCCAGGGAAAGTTCTGCATTCTCCTTCAGTTGCAGAAAAAGAACTGGACCTTCTAGTGGCCCTGCTCAGAATGCACATTCAGGTACCATGGCCATATAGTTGTTGGAAAGACCAGTGGTTATCTAGGTTTTAGTTAGGATTAATATCAGAGCAAAGACTGAGGTTTACTGGGAGTGAGGTTAATTTTGGAGGTGAGGGAAATCTTCTTGAAATTTCCTACCTCTCAAACTCAAAATCTTTTCTCCAGACCCCAGGTCTCATTTTCTTGCTTTGTCAACCCCAGTAAGACCACATGCTCTCCTCTCCTTCAGGTGCTACCATCACTTAGTGCATTTCTTGGTGTCTTCTGCCTTAGTACTGTCCACTGAGTGGGGTGATGAAGGTTTGAAGCTCACTTCTCTCTCTTCTCCTTAGAACTAGCACTCAGGACTTTTTATTTGGGTGTTTTAAACTTCTGGAAGCTGTAGAGAAATAGATAAGGGGAATAAGAAATTGAAGATAAAATGGCTCCAGAAACATTAAAAGTTCTACGAATATTTTACTTAGGTCTGTGTTTCTTGATGCTTGAATCTCTGAATGCTTTCTCACTTATCATTTTATTTTAGATAAAGGGGTGCATCTACCCTGTTTCTTCCTGGCTGTATCCATAACTGAAAGGAAAGGGTCTTCTTACTTGATCTCAAAGCTATAATCATGTTCTTTTCTGCTTAAGGGCAGTTTGGCATCCCTGAAAACCTCTGTCTTGATGGGAATACTCCTCTCAATGATAATCTGTTTCGTGGAGACCTGTTTTCTCTAAAATTAAGAGTTATAATTGGCAGGAAACCCAGGTTAAGTCCTGCACTTAGAGTTGGTTTATGTCTTCAAAGCTGTGATTCCTTTGTTCATAGTTCAAAAGGAGGTGAGGTGTTGTAGTGGAGGACCATAGAACTTAATATTAGTAGACTTGGGTTCAACTCTTGGTACTTCTCCCATGACCCTGTTTAAGCAGTTTAATCTCCTTGAGCCTTGATTTCCAACTTGCAACATAGGCATAATATCCACCAAGGAAAGGTCTTGTAAGGAATAATTCATGATATGTATGAAGTGCCTCTTAAGAAATAAGTCACAGTATGTATGACGTGTCAAGCACTGTGAGTAGCACATAACATACTCAGTACTGCTAATTTCCATCGAGTCCTCTTTCCCATGGTGTCATTCACTGAATTGTCAACGAACACTGATTAAGCACCTCATACTTAGCAAGTTCTGTGTGAGGAGTGGGAGAAACAAGAACAATGAAGACATTTTCCCAATCTTCAAGGATCTTATAGGCTAGTTGGGGAAACAGAGGAATAGAGACATAAACTATATTCCATGTGTTTACCACTATGGTAAACATATGTTCTGAAGTCATAGTTCTGTAATAAGAACTAGGAATACAGAATTCAAAAGCCCTGCTCTCAAGGAGTATACAAAGTGAGGTGAACAATGATTAGCAGTCAAATGATAAATGCTGTAATAGAAACAGTCACAGGGTGTTATGAGATCTCAAAGAAATATTGTATTGTATACCTTGCTAAGGAGCATAAACTTTATTCTTTAGGCAGTGGTGAGCGACTGAGTTTTAAGCAAAGAAGTAATGAATTCAGGCTTAGGGTTTGAAAATACTACTTGGATAGAAGTGAAGAGGAGATATTGGAGGAAGACCAGTTGAGAGTTATGGGAGAAAGGCATAAGAAATCTAGTGTTTCAGAAAACAAAAAGAATAAAAGTTGGAGGATAGTAAAGAAGTTTTAATTTTCTGGTAAGTGAGAGAGGTAGGAAGAAAGAAAGCAGGACAAGACAATGATGCACTGAGTTTTCAGGTTTGGGGAGTTAAGTTGACAGTAATTCCATTCAGCAAAACAGACCCAGAAGGAGGTGGTGGAGGAGGAGACTTGTGGTGGTAGAACAGAAAATGGTGGGGATAAAACAATTCTATTACATACTGTCTTGGAGCTCAGGTCAAAGATATAAGTAGAGGATCAACACTTAGGCAGCACCTAAGTAGAGGACAATTAAGGTACAGAATAGATGAGAACTCTGAAAAAGAGAGCAGAGAGTCTAAAGATACGAGCATTAGCATTTAACAGGTCCACAGAGAAAGAAGAGGGGTTTGAGAAAAAATAATCTAGAAAGCATATCACAAACCCAGAGAACTAGAGTCTTCGCAGGAGAGGGCGTTCCAATGGTCCCAAATACAGCATAGAGTAAAAGAGGAATACAAATTGTCCACAAAACATAATAATATCAAAGATATTAGTAGCTTATTTAAGAGATGCAAATCAAAACAACAATGAGATATCATCTCACACCAGCAATAACAGCAAAGACCAAAAAAGTAGAGGACAATAAAGGCTGGTGGGGATGTGGAGAAACTGGGACACTCCT